ACAATCAAGAGTATCTTGATGACGAAGACGATGGGGACTACGATCCTACCAATGACGACCATCCACCTAACGACGACACAGATCATGAACTGGATCCGGACATTACAGGAGTGGACGACGCAGAAGTACAGGATCTACAACAACAACCACGCGAACAGCGACTCAATCCGGAACCACGCACCCTTGACACGGCAGAAGCCGACAACAACGCAAACCAGGACAATCAACAAGATCCTCCTGATGACAACGATGGTGAACAGGCCGACGATTCCGAATCCGACGACAATGACAATGCCGAATCGGACGACAAAGAGGAAGCTGAGGACGCACCGCAACTAGCGAGAGAAATGCGTCGACTCGAGATAGATGGGGAAAACCCTACGGTCGTTACTGGTCGAACGCGAGGACAAGCTCGTGCTGCACAAATGCATCATGTCACTCATGGACACGTACATCTAGTGACTGCTCTTCGACACATTAAGGCAGAGCATAAAGCGCAAGCTGCCATGGAAGCAACAACCAAGACATTCCAGACGCCACAAATGGGCATGAAAAAGGGGTTGCGTATGTTCGGCAAGGCCGGTTTGGAAGCAGTACACAAAGAGATGAAACAATTACATGACAGAGCAGTCATGAAGCCAATCCGTCCCGAAACATTGGACCGCGAACAGCGACTGCGAGTGTTGAAGTATCTCATGTTTCTCAAGCAGAAGAGATGTGGCAAGATCAAAGGACGTGGATGTGCCGATGGCAGGAAACAACGACTATACACGGCAAAAGAGGATGCCAGCTCACCAACAGTCTCGATAGAGGCCGTGATCCTATCCAGCATTATTGATGCCAAGGAGGGACGGCAGGTGGTGACAGTCGACATCCCTGGAGCATTCATGCAAGCCGACAATGATGAACTCACTCACATGAAGCTGGAAGGCGAGATGGCTGAGCTACTAGTGCTCATAGATCCAAAAATGTATCGCGAGTACATCGTGCTTGAGAGGGGCAAGCCAGTACTATATGTCGAGCTACTCAAAGCCCTTTATGGGACCCTCAAAGCGGCGCTACTATTTTGGAAGAAGTTGTCAGCACAACTGATTGAGTGGGGATTCAAGATCAACCCATACGACAGATGTGTGGCGAACAAGATGATTAATGGAAAACAGTGTACAATCGCATGGCATGTGGATGATCTCAAGATATCACACATCAGCATTGATGCGGTTGAAGGAGTGGTTGCTGACCTACAGGCCGTGTTTGGCAAAGAGGCCCCACTAACAATCAACCGAGGAAAGGTACACGACTACCTAGGAATGAAACTGGACTATTCCGAGGACGGATATGTCAGCCAAGATAGACATGAGGGACTACGTCGAGGAGATCCTGTCAGAGGCCCCAGAGGACATGCACGGCGAGAGTGTCACACCAGCTGCAGCACACCTCTTCCAAGTCAATCACGAAAACCCGATCAAGCTGCCAGAGGAACAAGCGCAGCTCTATCACCACATCGTCGCGAAGAGTCTATTCCTATCCAAGAGGGGAAGGCCAGACATTCAAACAGCCGTAGCATTCCTATCAACTCGAGTGAAAAGTCCCGATGAAGACGACTACAAGAAACTATGCCGTATGATACGGTATCTACGCGCAACAAACCAATTGGTACACAGGCTGAGTGCCGACAATACGCAGCTCCTCAAATGGTGGGTTGATGGATCCTATGCTGTCCATCCCGACATGAAGAGCCACACAGGAGCAGCCCTTAGCCTTGGCACTGGTGTCGCTTGTGGGGCATCCACACGACAAAAACTAAACACTCGCAGTTCCACTGAGGCTGAATTGGTTGCAGTCGACGACCTGATGCCACAGGTCCTATGGACTCGACGATTCCTAGAATCGCAAGGATACGATATTTGCGACAATATCGTTTACCAAGATAATCAGAGTGCCATCCTACTGGAGAAAAATGCGAAAGCATCCAGTGGAAAGCGCACGAAACACATTGACATCCGGTATTTCTTCGTTACCGACAGAATCCACAAGGGAGATGTCACCATCGAGTATTGTCCTACAGCTAAGATGGTGGCAGACTTCTTTACGAAGCCATTACAGGGAAGTCTGTTCATTAAGATGCGCGACTTCATCCTCGGAACCACAACAACCTTTGATGGCTGATCGCTGAGTCGATACTCAATCAGGATCACAGGAGTGTGTTGGATAAGGTTAGAGGTTCCAGGACTGAGGGCCAGACTCCCAAATCTAGTTTTACTACCACGATTGGTGGTAGTATTCATAAATTTTTAAGGGGGGTTTTAGAGTAGGGAAATTATCTACGGAAGCCAGCCGGGGCCAGGCTTAAGCAAAGAACAGTCGAAATTCAGGACTAGGTTCGGTGGGATCAGGGGCAAGAAATTGAGGACCATTACGGGGGGCAAAGGGTTTGGCTTTGCGGGAGCCACGGAGACATAAATGGGTAGCTTTCACAAGGGCAATTGAGATA